TGCCCTGCCTGCAGCCAGCCCCTGTCTGCCTCCAGCCAGACCCACAACCCCTGCCCCCACCAGCCCCTGCCTGCAGCCAGCCCCTGCCTGCCTCCTGCTCCGCACCCCCTGCCCCCACCAGCCCCTGCCTGCAGCCAGCCCCTACCTGCAGTACACCCAAAGTAGCAAAACCGGAGCGAGAGCTGTTTGTGCCGCTACACCGACAATAATCTCCCCGCTCCTCAGACCAGAGCATAAGCGACCAGGCCGCTGCTGCAGGGACGACTGTTCCCCAGACAACTCCTAGGGCCCGCCCCGGCCGTGCTGCGTATGACGTGACCAGCGCTGTAGCCAATCGTGGGCGGCGCGGCGCATTCGAACAGGGCGCTGGAGGGCGGCGGGCGCTGGTGCGTTTGCCTGGGGGCAGGTAAGTGAGGCCGCTGCGCGGAGCCCGGGGGCGGGCTAGTTCCTCAGTAGAAATGCCCTGCTCTCGTTCTCCCCTCCCCCCCGCATTAGCCCCCGGAGATGGGGTAGCCCGGGGGCTGTTCGCCCTGCTTCCACCCTCCCCAGCCGGGGCCCTTCTCCAGTGATGAGGGGGCTACGAGGGTGTTAGTGGAATAGACTCCCCCTGTTGATCAGGGAAAGTACGGTCATTCGTGCCTGCTTTGAATGCCTCGGGGCCCTGCTAACTGACACACCCGGCCAGGGGCAGGGCAACGGCCTCGAGGTCCTGGTGGGGCCCTGCTTTGCCGAGCCCGCGCTCAGTGCACAGGACACCCTGTTAGTCCCCTGCAGCCGCAGCATCTACAAGTGGCTGGGGTCAGCCCTGGGCTGCTGCCTTGGGACTGCCCTTCCAGAGAGCTCTGCCTTCTGAAAGAGGGCTCCAAACGGACCCACCTGAGATCTCGCCGTGCCTCTCAATACAGCTGGATAATGGGTTACCCTACCCGGAAAAACAGGAATGCAAGAAAGTTGTTTTTCTATGGGTGAGAAGCTGTTGACTCCATTGAGACAGCTGTGAAGGGAGAAAGGGGTTGTTGCCTTGCCTTCCCAAGCCAAGTGCACTCAGCCAACAGAGTATTACATCTGTTGCCAGTATTGGGATCTTTATTTTGTTAAAATTACATTTGGGGAAATATGGTAGTTTTGACATGTCCTGGCCAAACGTATCTTGACAAAATGAGTACTAATACTGGGGATAGTTCATAGACTTGCACCACTGCATTTGTGCAGGGTTGGGGATGCAGTTGCATTTAGGGCATAAAAGTAAAAGTTTGTGACTTTAAAAAAAATTGTAACAAATTATCTGACAGGCTTTTTCTGAAGAGAATGGATTTGGTGGGTATAGTAATAGCTCATTGATCTCTTTAAGCTTTAACCTAATTTTGAACACTTGGATTTTATATCTAAACAAATAGTTCAGTTATAACTGAACTATTTTCTTTATTACTAAACTTTCAAAAATTCATAAAATGAAGGCAGCTATAAACTGAGAGATTAATCTTGCTGCAGAAGTAATATTCCTTAAGTAGTTACATTATCTTTCTTGTTCCTATATAGTTGTAATTTGTATCTTCAATCCTAAGCATTTTTAAAGCCAAATCAAAATGAGATGAGGATAATTTAGAGACCATAGTAGTAAATGACCCAAAAGCATGTAACATAAGTCATTGCTCAAAGGGGACACTCCCGAATCTCTTTGTTGTGCAAACTCCAAATAATGTAGAAGTAGTTTCTTACATCAAGCTGATGGCTGGCTAATAGGTTTTGTTTTGGCATTTTACTCTCTTTCCAGCATTTGAGCTATATAAACTCTGCCCTGTAATTATGAAAAGTGCAGAACTGGAGAGAGAAATTAACTATAGGAAGAAAATTAAGGTTTTTCTCACTATCAAATCCAAAACCAAAAAACATAGTTAAAAATGGAAGTTTAGACTTTAAACTTTTTAGTCTCAACTAACACATGGCTCCCTGCTGTCATGTCAACCTTCTGCACTCTCTGTATGCAGCCTATCCATCTCAAAGATATATTAGCAATATATTTAGATAGAATACAAAATACACGTTGATAAAATACCCTTTGGCCTGTGTTGCTATGTAAAATGTCTGCAATTTTCAAAGGGACCTAAGGGAGTTAGGCATCCAGCTCATATTGACTTTTAATGGCAGTTGGGCACCTAAGATTGTTGGGCCTTTTTGAAATTCCAGGTGATACATCTGGATGATCGAAGGCACTGTATACTCATATCACACCTAAAATGTTGCATAGTTGGGAGTGATACACATCTGAGTGTGTCTGATCTGTCAAATCTATGTGGGAACTTCTATCATGGACCCCAACACTATAGTGCTTGAGTGCCTCCTGAGTCTTAAAAAATAGAAAGCAGAAGAAATGTCTCCCTTTGGCATCCTAGGAGAAATAGCTTGATTAGTTGAAGGTGTTTTTTTTTCTCTTCTCTGTTGTGTATGTGTGTGGGACATAGGGAGGGGGAAATAAACTATATAGATGAGTTCTGCATTTGATTCTGAACATAGTGTAGTTACTAGTGATTCTTAATTTTTCTGGTTGTGAATTTCAGTCTAGGTATAGTTCTTGTAAAAGATCTGCCTCCTACATTCACAGGCTTCCTCCTTTTGATTGATACTTTCATGGTTCCAGTGGAATTTAGATGTGGGTGTGACGTTGTGCAGTCTATATGGTTTTATAAAAACATGATAATAAGTGAATATAATGTAACTGGGATAGTTTTAGAAAAATATGGTAAAAAGTGAATATAACGTAACTGGGATATGCTTCATGCAAAAGGTCTCTTGTAAGGTATCATTACAAAGCTTATAATCTACTGAGTGTGATCATCCGATTTGTATAAATGTACCACTCTTGTATCTAAAACTAGAAATATAAAATATAACTCTGAGGGCCTATTGTAATTATGTAAAGTGTGGGCCATTAATGATGGTTTGGAATCTTGATGACTCCCATTAACAAGGACCATCGTCTGCAGATGGCTATGTTTACCTGTGAGTCTTCCTGTATATGTGTGTGCTGGCAAGTGAGTAATGAAGTCTTGCAGTGACATGTGATCATGTCACCTAAACTGGACTCCATCTTTAACCTGGTGCTTTTCCAGTGAGGGGGGGGTGGAAACCCAGAGGGACAAAGGGTTCCCGCCTTATGCAAAAGATATATAAAGGGGTGGAAGAGAACAAAGGGGGGAGAGGAGCCATCATGAAGAATCCCCTAGCTATCACCTGAGCTGGAACAAGAGCTGTACCAGGGGAAAGAATTGTGCCCGGGCCTGGAAGGTGTCTAGTCTGAGAAAAACTTACTGAAGCATCTCTGAGGGTGAGATTATCTGTATTTAGTTTGATTAGACATAGATTTGCGCATTTTATTTTATTTTGCTTGCTGACTTACTTTGTTCTGTCTGTTACTACTTGGAACCACTTAAATCCTACTGTCTGTATTTAATAAAATCACTTTTTATTTAGTAATTTACTCAGAGTATGTATTAATACCTGGGGGAGCAAACAACTGTGCATATCTCTCTATCAGTGTTACAGAGGGCGAACAATGAGTTTGCCCTGCATAAGCTTTATGCAGGGTAAAACGGATTTATCTGGGTTTAGACCCCATTGGGAGCTGTTTTCAGGTAAACTTGCAGCTTTGGGACAAGTGATTCAGACCCTGGGTCTTTGTTGGAGCCAGATGGGAGTGTCTGGCTCAGCAAGACAGGGTGCTGGAGTCCTGAGCTGGCAGGGAAAACAGAAGCAGGGGTAGTCTTTGCACATTAGGTGGCAGCTCCCAAGGGGGTTTCTGTGATCCAACCCGTCACAGTGGGAAATCATCATGATAGCGGGAGAGGCAGTTTCTTAGGTAGCTAGAGATAATTCCATGGAGGACTTTGAATATCAGGAGAAGAGCCCTTGAATTGGATTTTCTTCAACTGGGAACTGGTGTAGAGAGTAGAGCAATGGGGTGACGTGCCCATGGTGACCAATGTTACTAAGTTGGACTACTGCATTTTGTACCATCTGGAGCTTCTTTGGGATCTGTGCTTAATTTTTAGAATACATCTACACTACTGTTAGAGGTGTGATTGTAGCTCGTGTAGTCATACCCACAGTAGCTTTAATCTAGCTAACATGGCTAAGAACAGCTGTGAAGAAGTATGCCATGGGCTTCATAAGAAGTGGTGCCCTGGGTACCTACTCGTGTTCCTAGCCTGCACTGAAGCCTGCATCACTGCATCTTCCCTGCTATTTTTAGTGAACTAGCTAGTAGCTCTCAACCTTTCCAGACAACTGTGCCACTTTCAGGCATCTGATTTGTTACACCTCACTTAAAACCTACTTGCTTACAAAATCAGACATAAAAATACAAAGTGTAATAGCACACGATTACTGAAAAATTGCTTACTTTCTCCTTTTTACCATATAATTATAAAATAAATAATTTGGAATATAAATATTGTACTTACATTTCAGTGTATAAGTATATAGAGCAGTAGAAACAAGTTTGACTTTGCTAGTGGTTTTTATGTAGCCTGTTGTAAAACTAGGCAAATATCTAGACGAATTGATGTACCCCTTGGAAGACCTCTGCATACCCCCAGGTGTACATGTACCCCTGGCTGAGAACCACTGAGCTAGATTAAAGCTGATGCAGGAATGCCTACGTGAGCTTCAAATCATAACTCCGACTGCAGTGTAGACCTTCTCTTAGACATGAATTGCAAAAATCACAATTGGTCACGAATGTGTGATTCACTGTGGCCAAACCTGCAACCAATAGGGTGAGGTTCAATATTGTGGCCAGTAGCATTTTAATCAAATGTGTGTTTTGTGTATGAGGTAGAAGGGGGATATCATTTACTTTAAACATCAGACTGAATATATATTACCCAAGACAGGACTTGAATACATTGTAGTAAAAATAACTTGCATTCTTCAGGATAAAAATAAATGTTTGCTTTACTTTTACAGATTCCATGTAAAAGCTGGATGGTGGCTCACTCGATTGTAGAGAAGATAAAATTAAAAAATCAAGTTAATCTCTCAGAAGAAGCTTCGGTTGTATATTTTAAATCCTAAAATTAGAACGTGCTTGAAGCCAAAATGTCCATATACACAGTTCCTACTAGAAACCACACTGGTGTGCTTGGTGTTTCTTCTTTCCAAAAAAATCCTCCACAAAATACCTTTCCTAAAAGCAACAGGTTTGGACAGCAGCTTAAATCACAGGTACCAGAAAATGAAAAAGATAATTCACTATCTCTTTCTCTGACTAAGACCAAAGAAATAAATAGGACCTATGTGATTTCTGCCTGTAAAAATGCAGGTGATACTTCAGTTACATTTAAACCCGAAGGTAGGTTAACTCTCCAGAGAAGAACTGGAGCAAGCAAAAATACCCCTTCTATTGATAAACAGTTGGAGGAGAACACAGCACAGGACATTGAAAATACCCAAACAGATGGAAGACTTACCCTGAAGCAACGTTTGGGGACTGGATCGATAGAGAAATATAAAACAAACAAGAACAGTGAACTTGGGATAGAAAATAGTGATTCTGTTGTTGCACAGACAAACAACAAAAATGTATTTCCACCAGGCATTAGTACTAATAACACCCATTACATTAAATCTAGTACTCAGTTAGTTGAAGGTCAGATGAATGAAAAGAGATGCTCTGATCTGAAAAATAAAGATTCCCTTGCTAATCTTAATGGTTCAAGTGGAAATGGGAATAGTAAATGTTTGAAATATAGGACAACTATTGCTGATGCCAAAATTCAAAATGACGTTCCTAGATCAGCACATTTAATAGCAACAAAACTTGTTAACAGGACCCCAGGGGTAAAGCTGAATGAAAAAGATAATTTTAATGAACTGACTGGAAAGGAAAGGATACAAAATTCAGTTGCTAAATATGGCAGTTTGGAAAGACAAAGAACACCTAGGAAAGGTGGTACAACAGAAGGAATAAAGGCTACACCAATGCGTGGCACTCTTCAGGATGCCAAAAGTCCAGCTACGTCTACTCTTAAGAACAGGACACCTTGTCTTCAAGTTATACAGAAAAAGAACACCAATGCATCCAACTCTTTGTCCATAAGTAGAAGTGCCAGGGCAGAAGGGAGTCAGATATTTATGCGACCTGCTGCACTTAAAGTAGAAACTGTAGCTCAGAACACTTGCACAGAGGAAAATCCTCTCAAAGTAGAAAACAGTAAAGTGACTGTGGCTGTGCGAGTAAGGCCCTTCAGTGACAGGTTAGTAATCAACTGTTTTCAGAGATTGATTTAAACAGTTTAAAATAGTTTCTACAGTATATGTTCAATAGAATTGTTATTATCTTGGTAGAAGCAATGTAATATAATTTTTAATTTGTTAGTAATGTTTAATTGCTAATGTTTCCTGAATCATTTCAGTTGGTCGTCTAGGCAAAGAGTTACAGTGCATGGTTAGAAAGGATGTAGCAAGTATTTTATTTGACCATATTAAAAATCTTCAGCTTTATTTTAAAGTCAACCTTTCATTTTGGTGCAGGGCTATTTTATACACTGAGCTGAATTATATGTATGGTATCATAAACATTTTTATACATATCAAGTAGGCAGCATGGTCCTTCTATTAAAGATGTTCATTCTCTTGACATATAATGTATGTGAAAAGATCTGATTTCTTTCTAAATAAAGAAAAAAGCTTTAAGAAGCACGTTGATGTAGTTAAGGCTAGGATGGGAAACCACTTGTAGAAAATGTTATAGGTCACTGCTCCATGTAAAAGACTTAGGTTTATTTTTTTTTTCTGCAAAATTAAGCTGTTCTTTATTAGATGATAATGTTCTACATAAATGTAAAACACCTTGGCTCTTAAGAAAATAATTGATCACAAAATGTGATTGAGTTGACCACCATAACATAACTTTGCTTTTAATGTTACATTTATCTGTAAAGTTTGTTTCTGTGTCTTATTCAGAGAGAGAAAAGAAAAAGCATTACAGGTGGTCTCCATGAGTGGCCTGGAGACAGTTGTGCGACATCCAGAAACAAAACAAGTGTACGACTTCATTTATGACTTTTCATTCTGGTCTTTTGACCACTGTCATCCTAACTTTGCTAGCCAGGAGACGGTATATAAGGCATTGGCAGTACCGCTCCTAGAAAGAGCCTTTGAGGGATACAACACCTGTCTTTTTGTTTATGGACAGACTGGTTCTGGAAAATCATATACGTAAGTTTCATTGTAAATGTTATAATTTGGAAACGTTTCTGTTGGAGCTGAATTTATAAGTCACCTGGATTTGCTAAAAGAGACGTAATTTAAATTGGCTTGTAAATGATTGACTTGTTAAGCTTTTGAAAATCTGCTTAAGTGTAACACTTTTAATAGAAATTAAGATAATCAGAGCTGGACAAATACTATTAATTGAATACATTATTATGCTATTATATCAAGAGCTATGCTACTTCCATTGTTTGATCTAATGAATTCAAGTCTGAGGCACTGGCTTCAGCTAAAGTAGAATTAACATTGTTTGGCTGGGCAATATTGAGAAAACCGTACTGAAAAAAATGTTATCTTAAAAGCAGTAACAAATTTTTACAGACGCTGGGAATGAGCGATGGGATGGATCACTTGATGATTACCTGTTCTGTTCATTCCCTCTGGGGCACCTGGCACTGGCTACTGTCGGAAGACAGGATACTGGGCTAGAGCGAACCTTTGGTCTCACACAGTAGGGCCATACTTATGTTCTTAAATGTATGTCTTCTAAGGATCTTTGATTTGAATTCCAGTGTTGTATATGTGTAATAAAATCAAATACGTATCAATGTGCCTAGAGGATATTAATAGCACTTGGCAGGCAGCTTCATCAAACCCACATAGGCTTTTGTCCAGAAATGCCTCGAACCCCAAAAGATTCTTCTTTACATAGTAACTTGGCTCCTAGTGAAGTTAATGGGAACTTTTAGATTAAGGTTAAGGCTGAGTGCTTCTGAAAATCCCACCCTTTTTGTTTATCGTAGTTTGTCAATTTTTGGTGAAATTGACATCATAGTGAGTATGGTGCTTATTAAAAAAGCCTTATAAGCAAAAATAGTTATGGCTATAGTTTCTCAGGAATGAAAGGAAGGAATGTTTTAAGGTGATCTTAGTCTTTTTAAAAAACAATCCCCCCCCCCCCAAATATTTAATCTAAAGAAAGTCAATGGGAATTTCATTTTAAAAAGACATTTTCAACTTGAAATCTAGTCAATTTAAAAAAAAAAAGTTTCACAAATGTATCTCCCACTGACTTCCTCAGCCCATTTTTGTGGTTTTACAGTCAAACGTTAGGCTGTCTTCACTAGAAATGCTGCAACTGCACCACTATAGTACTTCAGTGTGGACACTTGCTACAGTGACGGGAGGGGTTCTCCTGTCACTGCAGTTAATCGACCTCCCCAAGAGATGATAGCTTGGTGAACAGAAGAATTCTTCTGTTGACCTAGCACTGTCTATAATGGGGGTTAGGTCACCTTAACTTTTAGTGTAGTCCTGGTCTTAGTCTAAGCAAAGTTTTGGCAACATAGTTATATTGGCTAGGGACTGTTTTTTGTTTTTCTACACTCTCTTAGCAAAACCCCTGGTGTAGATGCAACTCAGTGTAGATGCAAAAAAATTACTACTGTTGGCGCATGCTGCATCTACAGTAAAGGCTCTGCTGAGATAGCTATGCCAGTATAGCTAGATCAGCAAAGCATTTGTAGTGTAGACAAGCCTCAAGTTTGCCTAACTATTTTTCTTTTTTTGGAAAGTATTTTTACTGTCTTTAACAACCAATTCTTCTCCCAACACCCACACATCAAGCAAGGGAAATGGACTACAAGGAAAGAGTAAAAGTGACTATATGCAAAGTACACCTCTACCCCGATAGAATACGACCCGATATAACACGAATTTGGATATAACGTGGTAAAGCAGCGGGGAGCCCCGAGCCCTATAAATCCCCGCCTGAGCCCCGCTGCCAGAGTTCCGGCGGTGATTTAAAGAGCCTGGGGCTCCCAGCAGCGGCTGGAGCCCTGGGCCCTTTAAATCACTGCCGGGGAAGCCGGTCCAGTCCGGCACGGCGTACCGGCCCGAACCCGATATAACACGGTCTCACCTATAAGGAGGTGAGATTTTTTGGCTCCCGAGGACCGCGTTATAGCAGGGTAGAGGTGTACTGCCAAATGCACAAAGTAAACAAATGGGGGGGAAAGATAATTTTTCCTCTAAACTTTTCCTGTTATAATTATCTTGAGCTGTTATTTGCAAAAGTTGTAACTGAAAATTTTTAGACAGAAGTATATTTTTTAAATTTTTGTCATTCTTTTGAAATCCTAATTTTGACATGCAGTATTTAGTAAAGGTGGACTAAAACACACATTCAATACTTTCTATAGTATAAAATTGTCATATTTGTAGCATCCTTCTTAAAAGCTTAAAAATGACTTGTTCTCTCCCAACTTTGTCATTTTTCTCTCTGGCAAACATTGATTTGTACCTCTCTGTACTCGGCTTCACAGTTCTCAGACGTTGGCACAACACTTGTGCAGGGCTTTGATTAATTTGATTCCTCTATTGCATAGCTCTTTACTAGAAGTACACAAGACGCTGTACTTTCTACTTGAACAATGGCTATTCTATGTGATTTTTTTTTTTTTTTTTTAAACAAGTTTTTCAGTAGCTGTGTAGGGGAGGAGAATGAAGAGGACAGTACTCATTTTCATGTTAAACTAGGTCACATTTTACAGCATTTTAATGTTTGACATAAACTAGTACTGTGCTGGGATTATAGTTTCAGCACAGATTTCTTTATACTACTGCAGCTATTAATGTAAACATTTACCAGCTGAGTTAATGTCTATTTTTTTTCAAATTGAAACTGAAATTAAATTGAACTAAAGATGCAAAACTCAAATCAAGAGGGGTATGAACTGGAGATAATGACGTGATTAGTATAGGAACAACTATGCCAGATTTATTTTTGAACAAACTGGTGATTTTCAAGTGAATTGGCCTCTATGCATTGATTTTTTTTTTTAAATAAATTTTGGTATACTTTGAAATGTGTTAAGTATGACTTGTTCATAAAATTAGTAGTAATGAGTTCAAGAAGTTGGACTGGTAGACAGGACTTGAAAGGGAGGCCCATAAACATCAATTTGGAATCTGGGGATAAATTGGTTTGTATACACCAGATCATGTGAAAGGTCAGGTATTGATAACTTTTTTTTTCTGATCCTTAAATGTCTCTGATTTATTTCTATAATTAAGTATTTGTATAATTTAGAAATGCATCTGGGATTTGAACTGTAATATGGTCTTAACTACAACATGATTAATATTTACATTAGGCAGATAAATGTAAACATCTTCTAAAAAACTACAAGTGTGTGTGTACACATTCTTTTGTAATTACAGGATGATGGGATTTGGTGAAGAACTAGGAATAATTCCAAGATTTTGTGAAGATCTTTTTACTCAGATAGCACAAATGGACACACAGCAGGTATTGTGTCAGAAAGCTTATTTCTATTGTGGCTGCATTGAATTAGAGAATATTGTTAACAAGGATTTTGATATTTATTCCTGTCATTCTACTCTTTAGTGCTATTTTACTTCCTCCTAGTTTCTGTACTCTGCTGCTGCTTTAAATTTTATTTTTGCTAGAACTGACAACTAATGTTCTCTAGACAATCCAAATCATATATTGTGCTATAGTCCCATATCAGGAATAATACAAATAGCAATATGTACATACTGTTGGTGCTGTACCAAAAGGCTATGTGGTTTTTTATATATACTTTTTGTATTTAAAAGATAAAAATTTACAGAAAGAAGGGTAAATAAAAATCCTAGCACATCTGGTGGTGATGTATACAAATGAAACTCAATAATTAAATAAAACCTGCCTAATGGGTAGCTATTTTTACTCTATTTAAAAACAAACACTCCTCCTCTCAACTTTTCTGATTCTAAAATTTTGAGAGATTTAAGAGATCCCCAGTGTAAATGGCAGTGGTTATTCTGGGTTTCCCTCTCGCTAGTCTTGGCAATGTCTTACTATTGGACAAGTCTGCACTGTATAGCGGCCTTTTTGTTTACTCAGAGCACAGCTTATTTAATGTCAAGACCTCAGTTTTCTTGTTATGGTATGTGCAATCCTTTCCTAACTTAATGAATGTAAGCCCTTCTTCATTAAAATTATTACAACAATTACTTTTGGGATAAACATGGGTGAGTATAATATGAAAAAAGGAAACCATGAAAAAGAACCAAAGTTTGAACAATTAGATGAACTGTCTCTGGTTATATTAAAATTATTGTGAAGTCATCTTTTAGTTCACATAAAGCTCCAGGATTACTTAAGAACAATCTTTTAGACCTGATCTCTACACGATTTTTGTATCAGTGTATGTGACTCTTTTACAAAAATAGTTATACTGACACAACCCCTAGACTGGATGCAGTTATATCAGCGTAAAGGTGTCTCATACTGGAATATAGCTTATTCCCCTTCCCATATGGGAGTAGCTGTACGATATAATTGCATCCTCACTAATGGGGTTGTACCACTTTAGCTATTTGTATTATCATAGTGCCTAGGGGCCCTAGTGATGGAGCATTGTGCTAGGGCCTGTGCAAATGCAAAACATAAAGACAGAGAGCTTGCAACCTAAATATAAGACATCCGATGGATATAGACATACTAGCAGAGGAATACAAGGAAACAGTGAGACAAGACTGGTCAGAATGATAGGCTGTGGTCTTGGTACACAAGCATCTTAACTATTGTCAAAATTTGTGTAGGTATCAAGACAAAAGAGCATTTAAAGGCGGTATTTCAAGGAGGATAATTAAGTAGCTTTGTGGATGGGGGTGGGTTGGTTGTGAAGGGTCTTCAAAGTGAAAACAAGTAGCTTGTGTTTGATGTGATAGAGGAGAGGGGAAGACAGAGGAGGGGTGTAAAAAGAGAGGTGACAGCATCAAAGTGCTGAGCTAGGATAGTGATGTTTGCAGCAGAATTCTAAATGGATATCAGTGGGGCAAGACTGCATTTCTCATATCCAGAGAAAAGGATGTTGTACTAATTGAGATGTGAGATGACAGCCTGGATGAGAGTTTTAGCATTGTGGATAGATGAGAGGCTATACTTAGAGATGTTATGCAGAAAGAATTGGCAAGATTGAGACATAGCCTGGTTGTGAAGACCTGAGAGAGATCCAAGTCGAAGATGACACCCGGGGCATGGGCCTGATTGATAGGACAGGCAGGATGTTGGTGGTGTCTACAGTGATTGAGAATAAGAGCTTTGTTTAGCCATGTTGAACTTGATCTGACAGCTGGATATCCATGAGGAGATATCAGAGACAGGCCAAGATTTTAGTTTGGACAGAAGGAGACAGGCCTGTGGTTGAGAGACCTGAGGGTCATCAGCACAAAGATGCTGGTAGAACTTGTATTTACAGATGAGATTATCCAAAGAAAAGGTGTAGAGGGAGCAAAGGGGACGAAGTACAGAGTCCTGTGGGAACACAGAAAGTTGGAAGGGGGGGATGAGGGGCATCCTTCAAAGAACACACAGAAGGAGCAAATAGAGAGGTAGGAGAATAACAGGGAGAGTAAAGTTTCATAGAAGCCAACGCAGGACAAGACTTCAAGAAGAGCCTGTACTGGTTCTGAGATTTGGCTAAGAAGAGGTAACTGGAGACTTTAGCGAGAGCAAGGTCAGCAGAGCATAGAAGGCAGAAGCCGGATTGAAGGTGGTATAGGATGGAATTGGAGAAGAGGAACTCCAGGCAGTGATTGTAGACAGTGTGTTAAATGAATTTACAGATGAAAGGAATGGTAGTTGGAAAGACAAGTGGGATTAAAGGTGTTTGGTTTTTTTAAGAAGGGAAAGACTAAAGCATGCTTGTATTGTGTAACTTTTGTGTTTAGACAAGCACTTACTTTTAGTTGATCTACTGAATCCACAGTTGGAAGAACATTCCATAAAGTCTCTAGGCCCTCAAGCCTGGATTCATTATCCAAAGGAAAAGTGGCAAAAAGTAGGGTCCCAAAGCACAGATAGAAACTTGGAGGACAAAGATAAAATGCAAGTTTTGTCCCAAAGTTTCTCTCAATACTCAAGTACATCAAATATGTTTTGGTACAGTAACTTGCATGGTCAAATGGAGACAGCTTTTCAGCTGTTTGAACTTCAGCGCCTCAAATCTGTCTTATACAGTTTATGGGTGATATCATCCTTCAGTATAATAACCTTCTCGATTTCTCAGGACAACAAATGGTTGGTTGTTTTTTGTTCCTCTGTGATACCTTGTTTGATTCTTTCAGGAAAGGATCAATTATATTTTAGTGGAAAGTTCTTTAAATACTCCATATTGGAGCCTATGTTATAAACCCTAGAAGGCAACATTGTTACATCCGTTGCACTGGTGCTATGTAGAGTAACATATCAGGGGGGAGCTGTGTTAGTCTTTAAGGTGCCACCGGACTCCTCCCTGTTTTTGTGGATACAGACTAACAGATTTATTTGGGTATAAGCTTTCATGGGCAAAAAACCCACTTCTTCAGATGCATGGAGTGAAAATTACAGATGCACGTATTATTATACATTTGTAAGGTAACTCCCTTCTCTTCATGTATAATAATGCCTGCATCTGTAATTTTCACTCCATGCATTTGAAGAAGTGGGTTTTTTACCCACGAAAGCTTATGCCCAAATAAATCTGTTAGTCTTTAAGGTGCTACCAGACTCCTCGTTGTTTTTCTAGAGTGACCGTAGGTCATGCCAGCTGAAGAAAGCAGTTGCATATGCTGGAGTTTGTGAAAGAGCAAGACAGTCCCATTACTCCAAGTTAGCATGTTGGAAAGGATGCTGAAACTGAATTGTTTAGTGAGCCAAAAAGCATTTCAAGGAGAAAAATTGTGGTGTTCATGTGGAGAGGAACATTTATCAGATGGAGAGATCAACAAACAAGATATGATCCAAACTGAAGAATCTGCAATTAGTTGGAAACAAGTATTACGGCTTCTATAATTTTGCTTTGGAATCTTTGTGAGGAAGTCTAGCAGAAGGGTCACCAGGGCTGTTGAGCAGGTTAAGACGCATTCAGACAATGGCTAATCTGTGTGTGGTGCTGCATGGTAATTTGGTATGTATATATTGTGTATACCTATGCTATCTAGAGAGAAGGATGGATTGGGGTTTTGTTGGGTGATTATTATCACTAGAAGTTCTTCCAGAGATGTGCTTTTCTTGTTTCTATGGTTACTGGGATTCAGGTTTTGCTAAGAGTGAATTCCTAATAATTTGGTAGAGAGCGCTGTTTTTTGGTATTGTACTTCTTTTTTTACCAAGACCAGAGAGCTTGAGAGAGGACTGAGACAGCTAAATCTCACCTTGCTACAAATACAAGATGCAGTCCTTGGTAAGAATGGTATGGATGCTCCCTAGAAAGAACATTTTGAATCTTTTCTTTAATTTATAAATCTGATTTTTGAGACGATTATTGAAGGAGATATTAAATGTAAAACAGATGGACATCTGCCTTATTTTTACATCTTACTTGATGCTATTGTCCACATATGTAAAGATAAACTAGAGATCGAGAACATATAATTGCTTTCTTATAGGAAAGAAAAGGCTGCATACAAGTGATTGGTGACTAAATGTTGCTGACTATAAAATAGTGAAGGTAATTTTGAGTGAAGTTTATACAGAAAGGTTTTTGTTTAACTTGCTTAGAATTTCTTTATCTATTGCCAAAGTATTATTCAGCACATCAGCATACATAAATATATTGGTATTCACAGCTACGAAGCTTATAAATCATTTTGCTTTACTGTGAGGCACAGAAATTATAAAAGGTTTGTTAGGCATTGAGGAATCTAAGTAGTATATTACTCTTTATTGCTAAAGTCAGCATCAAATTATAGTTTCTAATGAATGCCAATGAGAGTGGATATAAGTGACTGTCTATGCTTATGTGCTGTGAATAAGTGATTCTGCTGCCATAAATCATCCAAGTTCTATTTTTATCTGCATTGTCAGTTTTTTTTACTTCATCTTCTTTGCTCCTTAGACAACACACTTTAATTTTATAAATACTATAGGAGTTTAAGTGAAGGGGTGAGTACTTTCATGGAGAATCCTCATTCAATAAATTAAGATAATTGTGGATACTAGTTATAACAATGCATGTCCCTTTTCTGAGACATGGTATAAAATCACCAAAGTGTGCCAGCTCCACCAGTCAGAATCTTTATTTCATGTATTGTATGTATCATACTGTGGAAACTTAGTCCATAAAAGAATATGGGACTCCTGCAGGAGTGAATAAAACATTTTTTTATGTATTAAAAGCACAATGTTGACATTTCTGAGAGTTTTTTTTTTTTTTTTTTTTAAACATGACATTTCACAGCTGCGGAAAGCAGTGGATAGACTTGTAATAAGTTTGTATACTTAAGATTTCTTGTCTAGGATCTTGCTGTTGGAAGATGACTTCAAAATGAAAGCTTGCAACGGTGGTGTAGAATACCTGCAGCTTCCATTAAATTTGTTGACTGGAAATGACAATAAAAAGTCTGGTAGAATATTTGACTCATATAATTTTTTTTAAATTAGATTTTGTACCATCTTGAAATGAGCTATTTTGAAGTCTACAATGAGAAAATTCATGATTTGCTCATCTTTAAAGCTGAAAATGGACAAAAGAAACAACCTGTAAGTTACTACTCATAATATACACTCTTAATATACACCGCTACCTCGATATAATGCGACCCGATATAACACGAATTCAGATATAATGCGGTAAAGCAGTGCTCTGGGGTGGGTGGGGCTGCGCACTCCGCAAAGCAAGTTCAATATCACGCGTTTTCACCTATAACGCGGTAAGATTTTTTTTGGCTCCCGAGGACAGCGTTATATCGAGGTAGAGGTGTATCTGTCAATATACAAGATGTAGTGGCACCTGCCTTCTAACTGGAAGGCTATGGTAAGCTTCCTGTCAGACAAGCTCGGAAGTAGTTGTATAGGTAGATCACATAGCAACGTTGTTTTGTGATGTGCTCATTGCTTTCTTCTTTCTTGCTCATCTCCTAATATTTTACCTTATTATAAATGTTCCTACTAAATGAGTTACAGAGAAGATGGTACACACGTTGGACTGCTGTGAAGCATCTTTAGCTATGTACTCAGTGCCTAGAACTTATACTGGTATGAATTTTAAAAATACATTGATTTGCCAGTTTCAATAAAATACTGTCAAATTTTAAGATAGTTTTTAGATTCAAGGTTGTTAAATATTAACTGAGTAATATTTTGCAGACTAGATTTTATTTTTCTCCACTACTGCATGACCAAAACGTTTTCAGCGATAAAATGAACAAATATACACTGATTTTGGGGGTCTCTGTTCACCCAAATGCTGTTACTAATCTGTCTACCTTTCTGCTACTGATATTGATGCCACTGCATAGAAGAAGTTAAAAACAGAACCAAGTTTATTTCTAATTAAAGTAACATTGTGAGAAAGCTGGAATCTGCAGCTAGGGCTTTAATTTAATTTTGCCCATCAGTCTTCCAAGTGGAGGAATTTACTTTTTTGAGGATTGCTCTCTGAATATCTTCTTTGTAGGGAGGGTTGCCATCCCCCTAGGATTAATTCCTGGAGACTCCAGGACAAAGATTAATCTTTAATTAAAGACTGTCATGTGATGAAACCTCCAGGAATACGTCCAACCAAAACTGGCAACCCTACTTCATACCAAATTAGTTGAAGCTGATAGCTAGTTAGACAGCATCTGAAAGAAACACACATTTAATCCCTTCCCCAAAATTGTGATTTGATACTTGGATTTTTCTATCTATCATTTCCCTATTTGAGGGGGAAAAAATTCCCTCTCTTTTTCTGTCGTCTTCTGCATTTACATTTTGGGGTTTCTCATGTATTCCCCACCTACCCCCGCTTTGGAGGAGCAGAGCAGAGGTCTCTGCTTGACACAGACTTCAGCCTGTCCATTCAGCCCTAAAGTCTTGTTTTAAGTAAGATTTAAAGGTGTGACGTTAGATCGAGTAGCTAATTCCTTTTGAAACTCTACTGGAGGCAAGGCAAGTTTCTAAATTACTAAATTGTGTTAAAGAACAACTTGTCCTAGAAGGTATTCGTTAGATTGGTTTAGCTAATATGATCTAATAACACACCTTTACATCCTAGTGTACATAAACCCTAAGGGTACGTCTACACTTACCTCCGGGTCCGACGGCAGGCAATCGGTGTTCTGGGATCGATCCCGGAAGTGCTCGCCGTTGACGCCGGTACTCCAGCTCAGCGAGAGGAGTACGCGGCATCGACGGGGGAGCCTGCCTGCAGCGTCTGGACCCGCGGTAAGTTCGGACTAAGGTACTTCGAATTCAGCTACGTTATTAACGTAGCTGAATTTGCGTACCTTAGTCCGAAGTGGGGGGGTAGTGTGGACCAGGCCTAAGGCTTTGTCTTAACTAAAAAAAAAAAGTTTTTTTACATTGAGAGAGATCTTGGTGTAAAATCCTAGTGGAGACAAGATACAGGTAATTTTCACCTTCATGTAGCTGGTCAAGATCAATCTTATTTTTCCCTTACCTAGAATTGACTTTGACTAGATACACTGACGTAAAAACTACAGTGCCTTGCTTCCACTAGAATTTTACATCAAGATAGTTACCTTGATGTAAAAACACACCTCTTTGCAGTGAAGATGTAGCACTATGGAGTGGGGTTGGGGAAATCAGAACAGTGAAAGAACGTTTAGAAGGAAGCATTGGACAAACTGAGATCAAAGGGGAAAAACAAACAAGAGGACAATGCAAGATCTTGTGCTGCCTGTAAAAGCAGAAGATCATAAACAGATATAAGAGAGAGAGTAAATTAAATGACAGGAGTGGGGAAAAAAACAAAATGAAGAGGAGAGGGAGATTACTAAACCAAGAAATGCTGAAGAGAAGAAAACACCCCCCCCCCCCACAATACACAGCATTTATTAGTGAAATGAATTCATTTATATTTAGCACTTTTTTTTTTTATTCTAGTTCTCTGCAGAGTACCCTACAGCTCTATTAAATTGGGAGGGTTAGGTTGGACAGTGATTTTGGGAGAATATGTTTGCTGATGGACTCTGGCTAAATTTCTGTTGAGTCTTGGGCATGTAACTGAGTGTGTTACAGGTATTTTTAAAACTTCAGTGTCAAAGCAGTAAAGAGCATTTATAGCAAATCCGAGTTATGAATTTTCCTCAATTTTGTTTTGTTTACATATTGTTACATCTTCGGTTCTATTTGGTAAGCAACAGTATATTCCAGTTTGTGACCTATTTTGGCCTGGTTATTTTTGTAATTGAGAATTCATTTTCAGTTATCCTGGTAAAATAAAGGTTTTATTATTATTCTTGTAATTCTATTATTCTGGAGCATGCATTGAATTTTTTCGTAAGACCTTCCCCTACCCCCCAAAAAAACCCTTCATACCATGACATGTAGAAAAATAATTTTTCACTTCTATTTTCATTAGGTTTTTTTACTTATAAGAGATTGTTGCATAATTGTTATGACAAATTCATATATTTGAATAGCTTTTTCTTTTACAATTATTCTCAACAGCTCCGTGTAAGAGAACATCCAGTATTGGGGCCATATGTGGAAGACTTGACAGCGTAAGCCTTAACTATTGTCATTCTAGTAAATACGTTGGCCTGATACGGCAATATGCTAGTTATTGTTCTTATGCCCTTGTGCAGTCCCATTGACTTAACAGAGGCTCTGCAGATGTAAAGGTCAACCCTAGCAGGATTGGGCAGGACCCTTTATTCTGCAAAGACTTGCACACGTGCTTAACTTTCTGAACTGTAAATAATCTCAATGAGGCCAGTGGAACTGCTCACAGTGAGTAAAGTTAAGCACATGTGCAAATCTTTGCAGAATCAAGGCCTGAGATCCTGCCCAATCTTGCTGGGGTAGACACTTAGGCTTGCATGGTGCCTTGATGAAGTTAGGCTTTAGTGTATGTATTTGTCTATAACTCAGTAAATTTGTACAAAAAAAAAACCACTAATGACTTTTGTAGAAACAAAATGAACTGGTTTGAACTAGAACTATTTATTTGTTTTATAGGAACATGGTCAGTTCTTATTCTGATATCCAGGTAAGATGATGATGATGAAGTTTTTAAGTAATAAAAATCAGTCTTCTAATAGCTGTAAGTAAAAATCTTTCTTTTGCCTCATGACTGCTCCTTTCTTTACTCCTGAATGCTTGTTTTCAGTGATGATAAACATGAGCTTACAAAGCCTAGTCCATTAGCCTATTACATCTTATCTGATCTTGCAGCTGACTACGTGTGGGCAGACCCTTGTGCCCATGTGAAGTTACTTGCAGGATCGGGGCCTAAACTCATTTTAATTTCTCATTTAAGCTTAGACAAAAGTAGTAGTGGTTCCATTTTTCCTTTTGCTAGCACCAGCGTCTCAAAAAGTTTGCCCCATTTTGGCCCCTGTGATTAGAGGTGGGAAAAAAATGTATCAATAATGCTCAAAACATTGATTAATGTTGGCATCCTACATAACTTACATCCCAAAAGTATTTTATAGGCTACCAAAATTTTCTTTTTAGTAGCCCACACTACCGCCAATACCAGCATGTAGATACAGTATATTCATTTTTGCAGAGCTCTTTAAACTTTTGTTAGCTGCTCACAGAATCCTTTCCTTAATATCCTGTCTCTTATCTCTATTATCAGAGTTGGCTTGAGCTAGGAAATAAACAGAGAGCAACTGCTGCCACAGGCATGAATGACAAGAGCTCTAGATCTCATTCTGTCTTCACCCTCGTGATGACACAGACAAAGGTATAGTGTGACTTTTTTTCTTTTTAATTATTGCAATAATGTAGTGGTGGAAAATTCAATTATCGTGTGCTGCCTAGAAAAGAATGAAGTAGGGGAGGGTTGTGTTAAATATACTGGGCTGAATAAAGAAGTAGTAGTCTTGCTTTTTAAGTAGCCAGGTCTGGTTTATTTTCTATACTCACAGTACTACTGTTTTTTTAAAAAGCACATTGTAAACATGTCTGAGTCATACTGTAAACTTTTCAGGACACTGCTTTTCTAATGTTTCTGCACTATATATACTTATTGTACTATACAAATATGTTCATGGTTCAGTTATAGCAAGGGGAGAAAATCCTATAATACACAGTTTTTAATGTTTATGTCCCAGTGATGTCTCCCACTTACCTGACCTGGGTCAGAGATAGGATAATGCAAAGTGTTCCAGGCACTGTTAAACGAGAAGCTACTGAAACACACCTGTGCACTCAGGTCAGTGGCACCTATCCCCAGCAGACATGAGCTCTGCTCTCCCCCCTATAATTTTGTATGTAGGAGACAGGCACCCTCCACAGAGAGATGAGGGTGGAGAAGGAGGCGAAGTAGATAGAGCTCTTCCCAAGTCTATGGGCCTCCAATTTTTTCCTCCCACAGATTTTTTTCCTGATTTTCCTCAGTTGCTGCCATCACATACTTTGCCCTGTCTTCCCCATCAGGGCATGTATGTCCGTGTCCTTTTCACCCACCAGTGGTTTAGTCTTGCACCAATGGAAGTCAAAGACAACTTCTAGTGATTTCAATGGGTGCTGGATTGAAGCCCAAGTGAGTAGTAGTCCTGATATGCTCCCGAGCTAAAGTAGCAAAATGTACTGCTAGGCTGCGTTTCACTTTTTACAAATTCTACTTATGCTTATGCAGGTGTGCTACCGGAAATCCTCAGGTGTTTGTCTCTGGATACTATTTACTATCCTCGCCTTACTCTTTTTCTTGTTGAAAGTTATACTATGTCTTAAATGACACTATCATTAAAAAAGTAAAATGAGAAAATGTTTAACGTATTGTTTAAAAGTGAATAGCATGGTAGATCTGACTCTTCATGGGGTTTTTATTTTGGTGATGAGTCATAGTCTGCAAAATTTAATATTTTTTCTAAGTGCAGTAATCTCTTTTCTCTAGACAGAGTTTGTGGAAGAAGAAGGGCATGATCATAGGATTACCAGTCGCATAAATCTAATAGATCTAGCAGGCAGCGAACGCTGCTCTCCAACTCAGACCAGTGAAGAGAGGCTGAAGGTAAACTGCATTTACAGTTTTGTGACATATAGTTTGTCTCAAAGAGTACAGTATTGTGAGGCCATGAAATGAAAATGCTTTAGGTCTGCACTTGTAAGAGAAGACCTCTTGGTCTCCATGTTGAATGAATCTTGATGTAACGGTGTCTTTTGTATTGCTGCTCTGGTCTTTTCACAAGACAGGAAAAAAGTAATGCATGTAGTGTCTGCTGAATATTCTGTACTATTCATAGAGTTAAATTTAACTTGCTTTAATTGTTTAACAGTTTCACTGGTTTAAAATGTATATGTATGTAAATTATTATTGATCTGAGTCTCACATCACAGATTCAGTATAAATACTGAATCAATGTGGAAAACATCACATCTGCTTTAACTTGACTTGATTATACCTAAATATAAATAAGCATTAAAAAAAAAAAAGACAGGAAAAAATGGTTTTCTTCGGTGGTTTTTGTATAGGAGGCTTGGACATCTGTGGTTTGTATTCTAGTTCTCTTCCAAAAGGCTAGATATTAAATGCTTGCTTTAGCTTTTATCCCGTGTGTCACACATTTGTTGTAACTTTACAAAGCTGAATATTCTTTTATGCCTAAAACAGGGGAGAAAGCACTTGCTTAACTCTGTTTTCATAATGCAAAGAAGCTAAAAAGAATGGGGGGAGGGGAGTGCTCTATATGTGCAAGTACCTTTCCTAACCTGCTCTAAAACAGTCTATACACTGTGCAGAGTCAGAACTCACCCCTTCCTGGGATTTGGCTTTATTAACAAAAAATAGTTTACAATAAGATAAAATGTATCCCCAGTCTTCTCCAATGTTGCTCCTTGGAACTGTTTAGTCCAAAACGTAGGTCTTCATTACATCAGATTGAAGATCCTTCTGGGCTGCTCTCGTCTCCATTATATCAGTGGTGGGTTTAATACACTACATCTGCATCAGAGAGTCAGCATGATCCACTTAGCATCTCCCGATAGGACCAACAACACTTGTTAACAGGATGGGTTCACAGGAGAATGCTGCTAGCCTGTTAGGCTCTGTTTTAGCAATTTGCCCATTTAAAAAAAAATCGAAGTAGTAATGTTTTATATTCAGAATGAGGCTGTGCATTTATTTTTATTTCTGCTTTATATAGGAGGGCGTGAGTATTAATAAATCACTGCTGACTCTGGGGAAAGTTATTTCTGCGCTTTCTGAGCAATCTCAGAACAGAAAGAGAGCTTTCATTCCTTATCGGGAATCTGTCCTTACGTGGTATGTATATTTCATGAAGAGCTACTATAAAGTAATCTCGGTTCTGTGGAAAACAAAAAGATTAGACTCTTATCAGACGGTAGATTCATGGATCTGTAAACTCTCACTTCTACAAATTGAATGAAATAACTATTAGATGAAGTAAAGTAAACTTGAAAAATATTTTTATTTTCATGTTCTGCTAATTGTGGGTACATTTGAGGACCGGTATATTCTTCCTCAGTGTTCTGTACTGTAGATGAAGAAATGTGCTTCTGATGCCTTTTCTTCTCTGAACAGTGCCCTCATCTCTCTGCTGTTCCCTTTTTCTCCTGGCACAGAAGAGACTGCTTTCACATTTTTAGCATCTGTTGAACACTAAAATTCCCTCCCACAAGAGAGGAAACAATCTCCCTATTCCCTGCCTATGTTCTGTTATTTGCTGGCCTTACCTTTTTGGCTCCATGATGGTTCTTTCTCTCCTAAAGACAGATTTGTCAGCAGGTTGCTGGCCTGATCGAACAAGTGACAGGGGTGGGCATGTCACATTAGGCACACAGGCATGGGTGGGACTTTATGGTCTTGATCCCATCCCTGCCTCCCAGCAGCCAGAATCCTTCCTCTCTCCTTGGCACAACACTCTCTTAACCTTCATCACTGGCACTGAACTAGTTCCACAGTGTCCTGCACCTGGGAATCGGCTAATTTTTTAAAGATTAAGGACAAACCCTAAAACTATGAATTGCTGGTCAGCTGAGTAGTTCTTATAATACCATTCATCTGTCTCCTATAGATCAGCTGGTAGAGGCAAGTGGCCTGGGGCTTATGCATGCCTGACACCTGAGTTTATTTTAGTCAGAATAGGGCTTTCTGTAAATAAAGGACTTTAGTTTCCATTTCTTCATTCTGGCAACGGTCATAAATACTAAATCTGGAGTGGGAAAAATGTAAAAACGCACAGGCAGAGAAGCTTCTTTTAATTCAGGAATGGAAAAGAACTTGGGCAAAGTAAAAACTATTTGTCCTTCCGCATTCCTCTCTCATTGTCCACTCTGTAGCAAGGTGTACTATCTTGCAAATTGCTCGAAGAGCTAGAAATTGTTGCCAAATTTAGATGAGAAGGCAACAAGGATTGTGTAATTTGGTATGAGATAGAAAGTTATTGCTATTAGAACTTGCTGGGGAATGTCATCTGAATTATAGACTATTTTAATCTATTTTAATGCAGTTTTGTCACTAAGAAATGAAAGCAGTTGTCATGTTGATTGCACCAAAAATTGATTTATGACCTATTCCCATAACCCTTAAGACATTTTCATCTGAAATCTTCCATGGTGTTGGTGCACCAGTGAAAATATAAACAAAGGCAGGCATGTTTTTTCTGCTATATTTAGGCATTTGGGATCAACGTTTTCCAAAAAGAGGAGAGCATAAGTGGAAAACAAAGAAATGCTTGTGTGTAATAGTTTCTATGGTTTGTAAGAGTCTTAAAGTATAATAGGGTGAAATTATTTAGGTGTATAAGTTGTTGATTGAATTTTCTCTAAGCATAAAAAAACTTGTGTATCTGTAAGCAGGAACAGGCTCATGTTCTGGATTTGGCTATCTGGTTGAAAATCATCTTGAAATATATAGTAAATCACACAGGCTTTTTTTGTATTTAACTCCTTATGAACTCTGAGAAGTTAATTTGGTTTCAATGGTGGGAATAATTGTTGTTTCATTTTCTTGTCAATGAAGGTTATTAAAGGAAAGTCTTGGTGGAAATTCAAAAACGACCATGATTGCCACAATAAGCCCTGCTGCCAGCAATGTAGAGGAAACCCTTAGCACTCTTCGATATGCTAAACAAGCTCGATTGATAATCAATATTGCCAAAGTAAATGAAGATGTGAATGCTAAATTAATTAGAGGTAAGGTGAGATTTTTTTATTTGCAAGCATTTTTAAATTAATTGTCCATGATAGATGTTGATATTAATACTCTTGTAATGATTGAGAGCATATTTGAGGTTTATTCATTTTAACATTAAGATTTTTCTAAATAACTGGCTTTAAACAGTTTACAGGCCTACTAATACTTTAAAACTGGAGGTACTCTTTTCTTTGATACAGTTTCACAAACTTACATCTCAGTATTTTTTATAGGTTACATTTTGGTTTTGAGCTTGAACCTATACCCTGTTTGCACTAACACTGCTCTACAGCCAAAATGCTTCTGAAATAAATGTAGTCAAA